GACAGCAGCACAGTGGAAAGCATCTCGCTCCAGTGTGCATGCAGCCTGAAAGCCATGATCATGTGTCAGGGCTGTGGTGCATTCTGTCATGATGACTGTATTGGACCCTCAAAGCTCTGTGTATTGTGCCTTGTGGTGAGATAATAAATTATGGCCATGGGAAAAGTTGTATATTTAGTGTGTGTATTTTGATAATGATTGATCTTAAATCTTATACAGAATATCATTGATATAATAGGCTGTCTCTTTAGGCAGGAGCACTCTTGCCTCTCCCTAAAATTTATACTGTTAAAGGCCCTCTCTGTCACTTAGCAACCTTCCTGTCTTGCTGGAGGGGTTTCCCACAGGGCAGCTCATTGGGCTGTGCCCAGCCAGCCTGCCCAGCCCTCGTGTAGACAGTTAGAGCCTGGTGTGGTGTAGGGAGCCTGCCTGACACCCAGAGGGACTTGAAACTGAAGAAAGAAGGTTGCATTCTCCATTGAGGGAACTAGCCTACCTGAACTAAGTAGAAATGTCAGTCTTCCACTGTCCCCTCCCTGCCACCTTTCCTTCTACTCTGGGGAGCTAATGGTTGGGAAAGAACCAGCACAGGGTTAAGCTAACTCCTAGCAGTGCCCACCAGGGGGCTCAAGCACCTGCTGACCTCAAGGTCACAGTTCATTCTGAAGCCAATTGATGGATTTGACCTTTGGTTCTGTTGCTGAAACAAATTTGGGACTTGACTGTCTCGTTATATAATCCACTGGCCCACAGGAGCTTTTGGAACCTTGAATAGACCTGCTTGGACAATGGGGTCGGGCATAAGGTTGTCTATCTTAAAATGCTATCTGTAGATCTTATAAGTCAGATGTCCAGATGTTTGGCAGGTGAATGCCTCTGCCTGACACCCTCCCTGTCACTTTGGACTCATGGGAGCGGGCATCTCCACACACCTGTGTATGTGAAAATCATTTTACATTTCAAAGCAGTGTGTGTTTCTTATTTTTATATTTTTAACTCTTTACCCTTGGATGTATAAAGTGAATTTTTTTGGCTTCTGTAAGTATGCTCTATGCACCTCTAATGTTTTATCATGTATTTATATGTTGTACACAGTACTGGCCGATTCTGTAAATGGATGTATTGTACAGAGAACACAAACGTCTCTCCCTTACTTTACGTCTTGGGCATCATTGCATTAAAGTGGTGTAATAGACTTCTCTCCACCTGTGTCAGAGCCACTGCATGCTGTGCTGCCCGACCTGGGGGTGGAGTGATTGACTTGTGATCTTCCAGGTTGGCCTGGTGCCCTGACACGGGTCACTCTGGGGACCTGCTGCAGCCTGCAGAGCCACAGTAAGATGCTCACCCACTACTGAGCAAATGCGTCTTGCTCCTCACATCTCTTCTCCAACCTTCACTGGCTGCTCACTGCCATATGTGACAGATCACCACCACCAGTGTTAAGTGCTTCTGAATTCATGGTGAGTGCCCTGAGCAGCCCCAGGTGGGCCTTCTAGACCTGGCTCCAGGGACACCGCCTGTCAGCAATACCTGGGACCATGCTCTCCTAGGACCACAGGGCTCCTTTTGACATACTTTGACAGCAGGTGAGGGAAGAAACAGCCAAGCCTGCTGCCTGCCTCTCTCCCAACACATTTCTAACAAATAGATGTCTCCATAGTTGTCTTTCCTCACCCTGCTTCCTGCCTTATTTCTTGTACCTCGACTTGTTGCAGAGTTGAGTCCTTGTTTAACTTCAGTCTCCCTGTGTGAGTGCTTACGTGTGAAGTATAAAATTGGTATGACTTCAGATCTCATTCCATCTGAGAGGTCATTCTCCACCCTCCATTTCATCCAGTCATCCAGTGTGGCATTTTTGTCATCTGAAGCATGAGTGAGAAGTTGGCAACAATGTGGTGGTGATTTAAATGCAGTATTGGCCAAGTCCAAGTAGTCAACTTCAGGAGTCTGTTTACCAAAGACAGGGAGCAGAGGTCCAAGCGTGTTTGACCCTCTTCTTCCTTCTGTTGTGACCTTTGGGGCCACTAGGGTACAGTTTGAAGCTGGTCTGGTCCATGGGGTTGCCCAGGGAAAGCACTGCTCTTGTATGTCTCTTGTGGTATTGGAAAAATAAACCTGTTCAACCCGCACTTGGTCTCAGTCATCTTCTGTGGCTGCCCCACTGGGGTGGGAAGGAAGGTCATGCTGGAGTATAGAAGTTGCATTGAAGGAACAAATGCCAGCTCACTCAACCTCTGCTCTGGAGCTCATGTTAAGGAGCTCCTTTGTGAGGGGAGACCTAAAGGTGCAACTTACCAGTTTCACAGGTCTTTAGATTCAGCGTGACTTGGCAAACTCCCACAGTGCACTGGAAGCAGAAATTAATGAAAGTGATGAGGATGCTCCTCCTCACCACCTCACCGAGACTGGGGTTTCCCAAGAGCTTCCTAAGCACTGATGATCTGTGGGGAGGGTGAACAGTTCTGACCTCGAAAAGCCATAAAGCAGGCACCTCTGTGCAGCAACAGGCAGCAGTGGAGGGAGGTGCTGGCATACGATGGGGTCTGATGCTACTTGGGCGAGGCTGAGTGGGTGCAGCCTGCAGAGGTCGACTTTTCAGTGGTCAGACTTACCTGGAGTACTTAAATACACGATTTTTGTGCTTGGCAAGATCTATCTTAGTATATGAACATGCCAAAAGTGAAAAAGCAAAACAACCGAATAGGAAGTAAAGATGAACTGAAATAGCAGGATCTGTTCATTTATTTCCTGTGAACTGGAGAAAGTAGACTGTGATGGAACAACTTTGGAAGCAGTTCAAACTGCAGTTTTGTGGTGCTGTTTGCTGCAGGTGCAATTGGAGAATTATGGTTGGGCTCTGTGGTGACTGGGCAGCCGCCTGGTGGTGGAAATGGGTATGTGTACCTTCGTGTCACATAGTTTGTCCACTTAGTCCGCCCGCGTTTAGAATGCATGAGGATTTGGAGTTGTATCTCATCAGGGAGGCAGAATAGTGTGTTGGGTTAGAGTACAGGCCCTGCTACCTACCAACACTGATTGGGTCAGTTACTCAGCCTTTCTGCCAACTTTTGCATCTCTGAATGGGGATAGTAGTTCCTACTTTATAAAGTTGTTAGGGTCTGGCACATAGTAAGTACTCCAGACTGTTAGCTTGCACCAAGCCAGACAATTGCTACATAAATTTATGGTAGAAACTTGTATGGCTCCTGCCATCTGCTTGACCTTCATCCCAGAGGGGAGCTGTGGAGGTGCAGGCTTCACACTACAGTTGCTGAATACACAGTGCAGTCTAGAGACTGAGTGATTGGTAGCGGAGACATTTTACTCATGGTGCAGAGGATGAGGAAACCTAATGTTTCAGAATATAAAAATATCTTACTAGCCTTTTTGAGGTGTCATTTGCTTTATGTCCAACCTGCTCTTGAGAAAGACCTTGCCTAAGGAGGGGTGTGTGTGCTTAATAGAGTACACCCTGGGCTTCAGGGGGGCCAAGCACCTGCCTGCCCTGTGCCCTGAGAGGAGGTGGCATAGGTTGTGTTGCCCTCCTGTGTGGGTGCTGTTTAAAGGGACATTGTGGGCTTTGTGACCCATAAAGATTATAGTTGAAGCCAAACCTTGCCTTAATGCTTCCTCTCATCTGTATGGATCAATTTGAAAGCCTGGAATGAACATCTCTTAACTATCAAAGAGATGGACAGAAGCTGTATTTTAAAAAGGAGGGAGGAAGGGGCCCTGGCCAGTTTAGCAGTTAGAGCATTGGCCCGTGGACCAGAGAGACCCGGGTTCAGTTCCTGCTAAGGGCATGTACCTCGGTTGCAGTTTGGCCCCGGCCCTGGTTGGGGTCTTGTGGGTGGCAACCAGTCGATGTATCTCTCTCACATTGGTGTTTCTCTTTCTCTCTTCCTCTCTCCCTCCTGCTCTATCTGAAGATAAATGCAAAAATGTCCTCAGGTGAGGATTTTTTAAAAAAGTGACAAAAAGCTGCCAGTGCAGTGGCTCTTGGCCTTTCTGGGAACATGGACTCCTTTGGGAGCCTGATGGAGGGTCTGGGCCCTCTCCCCTCAGGAATGCGCATACACACTTAAGAGGGAGCAAGAGCTCTTTAGGCAGCTGCCTCCCCTCCCCATAAACCTAAGCTGGGTTTATACAAAAGATCAAGGAGGGGAGAGATGACTTTGCAAAGGATTCTTAGGTTTCCTATAAGCTTACTAAGCTGCTGTGGTGCATTTTGAATTACTTTAAAAATAAAGTGATGTGCGTGTTCTTTTTTTTAGACTTACTTGTCAAGGTTTATTACGCTGCTTTAAGTTGGGTCCATTATAATTGTCTCTGTATATCAGGGCTACACAAATGAAAGGCTTTTAAAAAATGTTTTTATTTTTGAGAGAGGAAAGCAGAGGGAGATAGAAGCATTTATGTGAGAAACACTGATCGGCCGCCTCCTGCACCCCCCTACTGCCAGGGATAGAGCTTGCATCCCAGGCGTGTGCCCCAACCAGGAATCAAACTGGTGACCTCTTGGTGCATGGAACGATGCTCAATCCACTGAGCCACACTGGCAGGGTAGGTCTTTGTTTTTAATATTAAATTTTTTTTTTATTATTAAGAGAGGAAGGGGAGAGGGAGAGAGAAACATTGATGAGAGAGAACATCAATTGGCCGCCTCCTGCATGCCCCCCACTGGGGGTTGGCCCACAACCTGGGCATGTGCCCTAACTGGGAATTGAATTGGCGACCTTATGGTGCATGGGTCGATGCTCAACCACTGAGCCCACTGAGTGGGCGGAGCAATATTTCTTGAAGTAAATGACAAACCAGGACTTCAAGATTTTCCCTTTGCCTAGTTTGGGCTGTGATGGTATATTTATGTATGATAGAATTTAACTAGAATTTATTTACTGTAAGCCATCATGGAACACTGTAAGTTCCAATCTCTAAAAGGTGAGAATTGAAAATAAAATCATTGCCACTTCTGCCACGTACGCTGGTTCCATAAATTTATCAGCCTTCGTGATATTTGTAACCACACCAGTTTTTTACTTTCAAAATTGAGTTTTTTTTTCTTCTTTGTATTATAATTGGGATAAATGGCCAACAAGAGGTCAGTCAAGTGTGTTAGATGAAGTACAGTGTTGTTCCAGGTTCCATTTCCCTTAGTGCGTACGTGCATGTTCTTCCCTGTCCCTCACCCAGTGAAGTGAGGGTCGCCTGTTTGGTCAGTTCCATTTGATGTTCTGTCCACTGTTAACAGCAGTGGTCGGGAGCTCCATTAAAGAAGTCAGATGGGGATCAAGCAGCGAGCGCTTCTCTGCCAGCACCTTCTCGGACCCTGGACTCCCACGGAGCTGCGGCTTCATCCAAGGTAAGTGCTGTCCGGTCCACCAGCGCAGTCTGCATATGGCTGGTCTGGATTCTGGGCGTGTCATCCCAGGTTGTGGGGTTTATGGTCACTTCGTGATTTTCAGCAGCGGCAGATTTGGTAAGACAGATGTTTTCTTGGTCGTACTGAGGATTTTCTGCCTGTGGTCCTCACATGCGCGTAAAAAGATAGGGTGCCGAGGGGTCACCTGCTTTGTCCTCGCTACTGTCGTGAGGAATGTTAGCCTCAGAGCACACTCCCTGGGTACAGTGCTTCAAACTATTGGCCCCTCTCCTTCTATTTGATGTACTCGGGCAGCTGTGCAGAATTTCTATTTTAAAAAGATTCTTCTGCCGTTACAAAAATTAAATGTTTTGAAAAGAACTTCCATATTTGTGTGTGTGAACAGACACAGTTTTAATAGTAAAACTTATGTTTATGCATTTAACTTACACCGTCAAAATTGTTTTTAAAATGACAACCAGTTTTGTTCCCACCCATATCCTGCAAGTTTTCCTTTAAAGTTTAACCCAAGTGATATATATAGGGTGGAAAAAAAAAATCACAAGTAAACGTCTTTGGAAAAAGCAGTCCTTTTGTTTCCTTCAAGGTGGGATCCAGGGTTTTTGGGTCGAGTGGAGCGTCAAGTAGTGAAGGTTCAGGACCAGGGATGGTGTTTCCTCAGTTTTCCAAGCCAGCACTTGGGGACTGTTAGGTGAGTTTGGTTTCTGTCGGTTGAAGAACTGTGACACTGGGGCAAGGGGAGAGGGACGGGTGTCCTTTACAGGCAAACAGCAGAGTTGAAGACCTGGCTTGGTCACTGGCTGAATTTACGCGGTGTGCCCCCAGTACGCCTCCACTAACTCTTCAGTAAGTGGAGGCAAGGGCATCCCCCTGCGAAGGTCACTGAGACTTCAACATGGTGCCCACCTGTGCCTGGAGAGCACCAGGGAAGGTTCCTTTCCTCCCCTTTCTAACAGGCTAGGTGCTGAAGGAAATGACAGATAATTTGTTTAGGAAAATTTACTGAGGATTCTGTATGCTAGCTTTTTGGCCACGGAAAGGTGGAATGTACTAGTAGAAAGGTGTTTTAGTCCCCAGTGAGATTTGGGAGGAAGAGGTCTAGCTGCAGTGCTGCTGTTGAGAGGACACCGTGGAAATAAAGCATTCGGTTTCTTATTCAGTGTTTATTAAGTAGATTCAGTCTTATATATGATATACAGATTCAAAAGAAAAAGGATTCCACATACTTATGAAATCAGTGCATTTAGCAAGTAATACCATGGAGATAACAGCTCGATTAACAGCTCATTGGTCTTTTGTTAAGTGAGGGGAGAGGGAGTTGGCCTGTGCTAGTCATTCCACAAACAAAACAGAATTTAGTTGCATCACATAGAGAAGACACAGTCTAAGAATTAAAATATTAAGCCACATTTACTGGAAAAACTCACTATATAGAACACAAAGAATTTTTATAGAGCATTGAAGAGGAAGTCCTCACCTGCTTAGAAGAGCCACATTAAGTTGCATAGGTGCATATCTGTAAAAATATAATTTAGAGGTGAAGTCATTGATTAAGTAATAAAGAGTCACCTTTAAAAGTTGGTGCCATCCACTGTTTGCCTTTAGTGCCATATGCTTACCGTCTGGAACCCTCTGCCCCTCCCAGAGGTGATGCTGCATCCTCGAGCTGCCTCTGGGGAGCCCCGAAGAAATGCTCGTGCCAGCTGCACTGGAGAGTCTTAAAATCGTGCCTCAGATAGGGAATTCACGCTCTTCCAAAACCTGTCTGAATTACGCCAGAGGACTGATGACCATGGGTTGTCCCTAAATCCTGGGTGGCTTGACCCTGAAGGTCACATGAGTCATCTTGACCTTCCCATTCACAGGCTGCTGGGAGAACTAAATCCATCCCACAGCTCTGCAGCAAAGTCCTGCTTTCACTTCTCATCTGTCACGCAGTCACCCAATGGCCATGGGAGGTCTGTTCCAACCCTGCTTCTACGTGGGCCACATGTAGACGCATGTGGGCCATCTGCCGCGCGGGGATTTTTCTAAGCTTGGAAAAGTGTTTCCCAGTAAATCTGAGTTCTGTGTGGTGTAGGTTTTTTGTCTTTGTTTTTAGGTGGAAACATAGGTAAAAAGTGAGAGGTTTTTGTTTTGTGGCTTTGCTAAGCAGATGAGCTTAGTGAGGTGCACCTTCCTCCTCAAGAGCGAGTCTTGCAGAACACACAGGGCTGGGGCATCTGTACATGTAAACAGTACACTTTCACTGAGTCCAAAATTAGGAGCAAAAATACAAAGGTTCACATTGGTCTTAGGTAGATACAGGCGAAAAAGGAACGAGCTGTTTAGCCCAGAAACAACAAAAACAAAGTTTCTAAAGCACCACTAAATTATATAAAAATCAGACCATGGACGGATTGAAACTGGTATTCTGGTGAAATACTTTACTATCTTGTAAAAAGTTTTACAAAAAATTACAAATTAAATGTATCAACCCTCTGAGTTCAAAGCAGCATTTTGAAAATGAACTGGTAGTTAATCCTATAACCACCCCTGGAGTCATAAGTGGCCCTTGGAAATAGAGATGGCCGGGTTCCACCTATTTGAAATCCTCTACACCCTCCTAGCCCCCTGCCTATACTCCCTTCCATACTGTCCTTGGACGTACACTGTCCATTTGTACAAGTGGTGAAGGTAAATGAACTTCAGATGCGCCACACTATTTCTGATCTACCAGATGACCTGCCACTAAGACCAATCCCCATTCTCTAGATTCTGCCCTCTTCTCTCAGGATTGGGCCCTTGCAAAGACTCTGGAATTGGTGTGTTTTCTCATTACATTTTAAACTTTGGATCCCAGATGACTAATTTGTGCCCTGAGGCCCTCCCTCAGTATGAGTTGTAAATGTTTGTGGGGCAGGGCTTTGGGAGAAGGCTGTCCCCAGTGGGACAGCAGGAGGGAAGTTCAGCAGAACCAGCTCTTGGGTGCTCTCCCAGTCAGGAGAGGAACAGGGTTGAAGCAGCATCTTTTCAAACAAAAGCCAAACAACAAGTTCCCTGACTGAACTAGCTAACGGAATCCTGTTTCCACATAGTAACTTGCTCCTGATGCTGCCATCTCCAGGGCATCTGGTGTCGCTCCAGTGGGAGGACTCCACCGCGGCGTTCCGTTCCTCTCTCACGCACCGGACCTCCGCTCTCACTGCAGCATGAGGCCTGCTGAAGGTGTCAGCTAGGGCAGCCTGGACTCAGAAAAACACGACTTCAAACTGTAGCTCATGTGATCTTTAGGTCTAACCCCTTGTGTGGTGGCGGCAGGAGCCCCTTCCCCAGTCCTTCTCACTCCTGTTAAGAAAAGCAAATGTTCGTGCCTGGCTTGGGTATGCCTCTGGGAGGAGAAATGACATGTTAAGCAATTGATACCAAGAATTCTAAGGCGGCGATTGTCTCTGCCAGGTTTTAACGTTCACAAATTGCTTGGGGTAACATTTTGCAAAAGATCTACTGATTACTTTGTAATATTGTTCACACACAAAAATAAATATTTACACAAATTCAAACGTCAGGGAGTGTACTGAGCAGGTGGAGGATGGACGTGTGGATGGCGGGGGTGTGGGAGGCCTCGGGCACTGGAGTTTGTGCTGTGCTAAGGGGGTTTCGGGTGTGCGGGCCCTGACTGGAGGCCTGGGGGTGGGTCAGATGCAAGGCAGAGGTGGTGTGGTGGGATGGGGTGTTGGAGGCCACTTGAGAGAGAGATAAAAGACCACTCCCACCCTCTAGGGGCTGGAAGTCAGCACGGAGTGGGGCACCCTACCTTTCAGAGTTTCTGGACCCAGGCAGGATGGGACACCCACGCTGGAGCCCCATCCCCACCCTACCAGGGGCGGTCTGCCACAGCGCCAGGAGGCAGCTGGCTGCAGAGAAGCTGGTTTGAGAAGGGATACCTACTCTGGGGTCAAGTGGCTTTCAGTGGCCATCCTAGGGTCCACTCAGCCCTGGCTCCCCTGGGGCCTCTTTGCTCTGAGGGAGGAAAGGCAACAGAGGGCTTCTGCCAGCTCTGGGCAGGGGCGGGCAGCAGAGGCTGCTGTCATGGCTACGGAGTGTTGCATGGAGAGGCCCATGGGCCTTCTGAGGTCTGGGTGAATCCCTGGTTTTAGCAGCACTGGTAGGTATTGCACTGAGCAAGAGGAAGTGCCTATTGGGAGGAAGGAAACCAGGCCAGCCTTTTCTTTTTGCCCCTTTTCACACTCCAGGGATTATAGGTTTCTTCCAGGACTGGTCCCTCCAGAAAAAGGACTGGTCTTAGGAGAACCCAAGTGGCTACTCCAACTAAGAGTCCCTTTATTCCAACCACAGAGGCAGGGGACGGGAGCCAAAGTCGGCCCAGGAGCTCACAGCTGCCTTTCCTGTTCAGTGGCTGCCAGGGGCTCACCCTGAAGAAACAGGCTCTTCCCAGCAGGTGTCTGAGGGCCCTGGGTCTTGGCAGAGAAGTGTTCAACCTGACTCCCTGGGGGCAGGGCAAGGGCTCCGCTGACCCATTGCCGTCCCCCAGCGCTCTGTCCTGTCTGCAGCTGGGATGGCTGCGCCGGGTCCCTCTGTGGGCTCCAGCTGCTCCTGCCACCCATCTGGACTTACCTCCCAGGCAGACACACTGTGGGGGAGCTGGGAGACAGCCATTCAGAACAGGCTCAGGGCACATCCTGGAAAAAGCCCCGCTGGAGTGTGAGGTAGAATACAGATGGCCGTGGCTGGGGCTTCAGTGGAATTGGGGAGGGGGGAGCCGTGTGTTTGTCTTTGCTTTGCAGTGGGTGTGGGTGAGGTCCTCCTGCTTGGTGGTGCTGGGCACTCAGAGGGACAGCCCATCTGGCACCTGCCCCACCGCAGCCCCGCCCTGCCGGTCCCTGCCCGCGCCAGTGTAGTGATATGGAATGTTAGGTCACAGGGAGACATCCTTCTGATCAGACAGACACAGACTGGCAATCTGTACAAACACAAAAGAATCCATTTTCAGAAAAATAAATTACTAAGGGGAGAGGAAGAAAGGGTCCACTTTGTTTCTCTCAATAAATATGCAATTCTGCTCACCTAAGACTTGAAAGGTAATTATCTGGGAGTGGGATTCTAACATCAGGGTCCACGAAGATGATATTAAATAGAGCTGCGGCCCCAGTGCCCTGTCAGGGGAGCCCTTCCAAAGCTGCCCCATTGGCCTCTTCCAAGCAGGTCAGAGCACCCGTGTGGTGAGAATCCAAAAAAAAAGTGTCCTTGTGCCCAAAGTCTCAGGTGCTTGGAGTGTGGCTAGAAACAGCTCTCTTGGATCCCACCTCTTTCAAAAAACAAAATGTACCAACTGGTGAGGCAGGAAGCTGGGTCTGGGCTGGAAAACCTCCTTCCCTAGGGTAGTGCACGCCAGGTGCCGCTGGGGTCAGTTCTGCTGCAAAATGAGGTTTTCCAGTTCGTCTGCCGAGCGCAGCAGGAAGGCAGCAGACTCTCGGTAGCCAGCGATGAGCTGCCGCACAGCACTGATCTCTGTAGGGCTGAGCTGGGCGGTGGGCATGGTCCTGCTGGTGCTGTTGCTGGAGGGTGTGGGGGTGGGCGTGGTGGAGGTGGTGGAGGCTCCGCCTTTCATGCTGAGGTCCGTGGGCCCTGTGGAGAGGGAGAGGGAGGGTGAGAAGCAGTGGGCACCTTGCATGGCACCTGGGAGGTGCCGTCATCCTTTCTGTTGTCCTGGGGGGTCTGCTGTGAGTCAGGCACTTGGGCCCTTGTCTATCTTGATAGTTGCACCTTCAGTGCCTAGAATGGGGCCTGGGACCAGCAGACGAGACATAGGGTTCTCTGTTAACCCCCAGGGTGATCCTGCAAGGAGGGAAAACTCATCATGTGACAGAAGCAGCAGAGGCCTGACGGTTGACAGGTTTAACCAAGATCACACGTACACATGGTTCTGCATTCAGGGCAGCCTGGCTCGTGACAAGGGCATGGGCTTTGGCGTCAAGTGGGGAACAGCGCTCTCTGGCACTGATCACACCTCTGCTTCTTTCTGAGGACCTTCAAGTATGCAGCCCAGCTCTGCTCTCCAAGTGAGAACAACGCCTCCAGGCAAAGGAACTTTCCTGACTCCCCAGTGTGGTGAGCAGAGCTTCGATGGGAACTGACTACCGAGAAGAAAGGCTGTCAGCGTGTCTGGTGGAGGTACGGGTGTGTATGTGATCCTCCCCCCATCGGGCAGTCGTTAGCAAAGGTGGGGGTCAAGATGCTACAGGTGAGCAGGGGCCTTATCCCTGAGAGGGACGAGTGTGCAGTTCCCCAGAGGGGACCCACAGAAGACCAGGAAAGCAAACACCCACGCGCGCGCATGCACGTGCTCAGACAGGGAAGGGGGCTTCTGTCTGCTGGGGAGAGGTGAGAAAAGCCAGCTGCCTGCTTGGCTGTGGGAGAGTGGGCCGACACCATGACTGCAGCATACAGGACAGGGCTGGGGCGCTGAGCCCCTCTCTGAGGAGCCCCTGCACCTCGATCCCCCTTACTCGGAGGAGGTCTTTGATGCTCTAGTGAGGGGAAGATAACTGCTAGTGGGGCAGGAAGGAGTGCGGGGTGGGTGTGTGAGGTCAGAATGGTCAGGAAAGGGCCAGAGTGCTGTCTGGAGAAATCACCTTCCTTGTGCAGGAAAAAGGGAGCCTGGCATCTTCTGAAACATTCTAGGGGTATGTGATGGGGGCCCACCACGCCCTGTTCCTTTCCACCTTTTCCAAGCAGCTCTACCAGGTGCACCACTGGCTTTAGAACCAGGCAACCTCAGACTCCAGGCCTGCTCGGCGATGCCAAGGCCGTCCTCTGCCTTCCCCGAGCCTGGGTGCCCCGTGTGCACATGCTGCTGAGCCGTGCCTGTGAGGGCCGCAGCACGGCCGTGGCTCTCCGCCCGCGCAGGCCCACTGGGAAAGGGCTTTCAGACAGGTGTCGGGCTTTCTGAATGGGCTCTCAGGAGACAAGGAAGCTCCTGGAACTTGAAACGCATTCTTTCGAGGTGTTCAGTAAAAAAACAGCTAAGAAGTGAGGACCTGGGCTACAGGAGCTGGAGCTTCCTTATGGAGGCCTTCTCTGACCCAACGAGGTCAGTCCCCCGTTCTCCACCCCTCCCCCCACTGCTCGTATGCAGAGGTTATCTCACGTGGTGTGGGAGGCTCTTCTGGCTTACCAGCCATCTCCCCACTACCCCCAGGGTTCTGATAGCGGTTTCATTCATTATTGCATTTACAGTGGCAGTTTTTATGCTGCTAAAAAGAGAGATGGACAGTTCTTGTCACTGGCGACATCCAGACCAGAAGTAACATCTTGAGAGAAATTATGGACTGTTGCTGAAAGGAAGCTGGTCAGACCCCAAATGGGGAAGGAAGCTGGAGTCTAAGATGGGACAGTTTGTCACATGGGGTTCTTTTCTCTCTAGAGAATATGGACATCAGGAAGGAAGTCCTAGGAACTGGCTGGTTAAGGAACATCCTTGGAATTGTGAGTCAAGGGAACAGTTAAGTCTTAAAATGAAACCAGGAGGCAGGAGTAGGGCTGTGACTTGCTGGAAACGGCAGCCAAGCAGGTGGTGGCTCAATGAGACCGCCCGAGTGGGAGCAGGGTGCCTCTGCCGGCTCCTGGGCGCTGCAGGGGCAGCTGCCAGTCCCCTCCAGACAATGCTTGGGGACAGCAGAGGAAGGCTGGGGCCGCCTGCCACAGGTGGTGAGCTGGCCCCAGGCTTCCTGTCTCTCCTCCCTCCATCCCAAGTCTTGTCGTCTTCACCCCAGTGCTCAGAACTGTTCTTCATCTCTGCTGGGCTTTAGCTACAGCCGATCAATCTGGAGCTGTCCTCCCTTGGGCTCTGGTTACAAGAGGACGCTCAGGTTGCCAGGTGGGTGCTGGAGGGGCAGCACAAGCTGCCCAGCGAGGAAGGCAGAGCCCAATTCTAGCTAAGCTGACTTGCATCTCCAGATGACAACTAATGAGCAGAGTGAGGCGCTCTGAGCCAGTCGTATGGCTGCCCAACCCAGCTGCCAACTGACAGAGCAGTCCCTTGGAGGGCTGCCCGGGGAGGGCAGGACTGGGCCCTGTGGCCACACAGCCGCTTTCCTGCAACTCCTCAACGAGAGCCCGACCACAGGACACACGGCCCACGGCAAGGAGGTCAACGAGCAGGTCTCTGTCTTGGCGATCTTGCCACCACCTCCGAGGAGCCAGGGTGCTCACAGACGGGAGACCCAGTGCCTCCCTCGAAGCCCCTGCAGGGTGAACAGGGCGGGGAGCGCAGCGGGCTCAGTGCTCTTAAGAGGCAGGAGCAGCCCTGACAGCTGCAGCCCCGACACAGGCCAGGCCCCGTGGCGCCAGGTGGAGGCTTATCACCATCGCCTGCTGCCTGGAAAGGACTGGGCCCCAGACTCCACACATATAATGAAGGGTCTACACGCCCCGGGACCTGTCTGCAGACACACTGACAGGGTCCCCACAGCCGCGCTGTCAGATGGCTCTTCTTTCTGGAAGGAAAGCAGCCCACCTGGACAGCCACTCTACCCCTCGGTCTCAGGGATTAGGCCAGGCAGCCTCTCTTTTTAGGTTAAGAGGCATTAGGAAGGGATGAGAAGTTAAGCCCAGGCAGGAATCTTCCAGGGACCTACACATACTTCCTGGTGGGGGTCAAGGGGAGTGGAGGGTGCCTGAGCTTTCTGCCTTGGGAGGGGACTCCCCTCCCTCACTGACCAGGAACACCCAGGGGTCTCCTCCAGCAAAGGCTTGAGAGGAAGAATACTCAAGACCTAGAACCAGGGTTCCCTGGCCTGTGGTTGGCACCTTCCTCCAGCTTGATGTCACCTCCGCTCATCACCTCCCGTCAGAATGACCCCTAAAGCACACTGCTTTTGCCCCCCTGGTCAAACCTCATCGCGGGGCAGACAGTGCAATTCACAGCCTTCTTTGCTTAAAGTCTATCAGCGTCTCCCAGTGCAGACAGAACAAAATCCAAGTGCCTGGCCCAAGACATCACCCCCGCCACCCCTGCCAGCTCCCGGAGGCCACCGTGGGTCCGACTATTCCCCTGCCACACCCACCCAGCCTCAGGGTGAAGGCCCGAGGGCTCCGTTCCCGCTCCCCCTCAGGAAGTTTCGTATCTTCTCAGGGACGTCTCTTCAAGAATGGTCTAGGTCTAGCTGGCATCAGAGTTACAGGGCAGCACCTGGGACGAGGCCGAGGCCCGTCAGAGCATGGGAACCTTCATCTCCCAAGGCCGGTCCTGAGCCGGGGCTGCAGCGGAACTGGGCCAGGGTGGCTGACATGGGGTGTGGCGAGGATTCCACCTGGGTGAGGAGCCGTGGCTGGCTGGAACTCGGTGCTCAGCTCACGTGGTCGTGAGGGGAGCGGAACCGGGGAGAGGGCCCACCGTGCACTGAACGAAGCACGCCTCCTTGAGACCAGAGAGGAGAGGAGGCTGCTTGTTTTCATCCGTGGAAGTTTCCCCTGCTTTCCACTCTAAGGACTGGCTAAGATTATGAGATGGGAGGGTCCCTGCGCCACTTCCCAGGGCTGCAGTCTCCCATACTCACCGTTACTGTGATTTCCTGTTTGCAGGGAGGCAGGGGGCTGCAGGTTGCTGCCCAAGGCCCCATAACTTCGGTAACTGTAGTTGAGGCCGCCATTGACATACACGGGGTCCTGGGAGTAGGAGGAGGCTGGCAGTGAGTAGGTGGAGTGGGTGATGGCTGTGGAGTCCCGGGAGTGCTGCTTGTCCAGGGCTATGGGCTCGTCCTGCAGGGGGGAGGGAGGCGCTGGGGAACCAGAAGGACAGAAGCCCTGGCCACTGCCCCTGCACAGGGCGATCAAAGGCTGTGGCCCCAGAGATCCTAGGATTCGGTACTGTGTCCGGCAGGACTGCTCGCTCTCCCTGGCCGTCTTCCCTATGGCCTCCCAGCCCCACTCATCTCTCTGTGGGGCAGATTGGGTTGTTCCTGCCCCACTGAAAACCCTCCCAGGGCCCTTGGGAGGGATGAAGTCCAGATGCCCTTCCTGGGTGTGCAGGCTCCTAGGTGACCATCCCACCCCATCACTGCTGCCCTCTTGGGAGCTCCGCCACCCTCTGAGGACTGCCTGCTCCCTCTGCCTCGGGGCCCCAGGGTCCGGGAGCACCTGGCTGACGCAGCAAGCAGGTACCTGCGAGGGCTGGTAGATCTCCAGGCGCATCCTTTTGGCTGCTTTCCTCGTCTCGCTCTCACAGGCAGCCGCCAGGATGTTCTCGGCCATGGCCGAGGTCAGGTGGGGCGGTGTGGGGCGGGTCTGCAGGCAGAGCGGGGACAGAGCAGTGCTGGGCTCACCCAGAGGCCCTGCCTAGGGGTGGGTGGTGCAGGGCGGGGGTTCGGGCTTTGGCGCCATTATCTATGGAGCAGCCTCATCTTTCTGGGCCTCAGCTCCCCACTCTGAAACAGATCATGGTGCTGCTTCCGGACAATGGGAGGAGTATGGGTCAAGTGTCTGGGCAGGGGGCTGTCCAATAATCCCAGGGAGTGGCTGGAGGTCAGTGGCGGGGAAGGGCTGGGCTGGGGGGAGGGGCTCACCATCTCCATGCCGTTCTTCTTCATGCGCCGGCAGGACTTGAGGTACGTGCGAATGCGCTTGCGGGCCCGCTCCTGGAACTCGGGGAACTGCCGGCTACAGGACTCGATGATGGCCTGGATCTTCTCCTTGGGCTGCTTGGAGATGGGCACCATGCGGTCCAGGTTCTCGTCCACAAAGAGACGCACAAACATCTGTGGGAGAGACAGGCTGTGGGCAGGGCCGGCCCTGGCTGCTGCCCCACCCCGCCCACCCCTCGCTGGCGCTCACGTTGAAGGCCTTGAGACGCTCGGGGTCCATGCCCTCAGAGTCATTCATCTTGTCATTGTCCTCGTGGTCGTCATGGTCATCATCGTCGTCGTCTGCTGTGGGAGCCCGGCCCACAGTCAGGTCCTCAGGGCAGCCACTGACCTCGGTCTTGATGGAATCGTAGCTCCCCGAGCTGTAGGGGGGGGACTGAGAGAGGGTGGGGAGGCTGTCAGGCCAGGCCTTTTAGTGGCCAGTGAGCTTGGGAATGAGCTTGGGAACTGGGATGGCTAGCACACCAACTGCCACGTGAGCCACAGCTGTGGGGACAGCCACGCTGCCACCCCCTCCCTGGGTGGCTGTTGGAAGGACTGCCTAGAACTGTTCTGCAGAGGCCTGGTGTTCCTGGGGACACTGAGTTGAGGGTGTCAGTGGTTCACTCGGCCGCAGTGCCCACACTGTGACCTGCCACATGGTGTGAGGGAAAGGCAGTCACAGAAAGGGTTCCCACCAACAGCCAGCCTCTTCTGGTTGTGCCAAGATCTGTTCTGGTTTGGGGTTTTCTCTCTGATCCCCAAGGGGCTGCAACCCTGAGCTGACAACTGAGCTGTCACAAAAGCAGCCAGTGCACTGTCTGCTGGGGAGGAGGAACAGATGGGCTGGGAGAGGGAACCAGCCAAGGCGACAGGTCCATTAGGCAAAGTGCATTCCCAAAGCTCCAAGGCTGGGTGGGGTTCTGTCTGCCACCATCCCCAGGAAGACACCGTGAGCCCGGTGCAGAGTGCGAGCACACAAAGGGGGAGGGAGGGGACCAGGTGCAGAGCAGGGGGCACCCGCCTGTCCTCCAGCAGAGAGGGGGCCTAGCCCTTACCCCCGCCCCACCCCCATCTGGACTGCACTCATCTCCTCCCGGCTTTCTTCCTCTTCACCTTCTGCAGCTCAGCTCCCACCTGAGGAGCACTGTCATTTGCCTTTTAGAAAGTTCACATCTTCAGCGTGTCTTCACTTCACTCACTGGGATTCTGACTAGCAGTGTCCTGGAACATGGTCCCTATCCTCAAGGAGGTGGGTATCTGGGCCCAGGAAAGAAACAGCTGCAGCTCAGACCCTGTGATGTGGCCACATGGTGGTCCAGAAGGGGATCACAGCTCTTGTTGATGAACAAACGGAAGAAAATGGACCCTGACTGGTGCCCAGGCCACCAGCAGGCCTCCCGGTGACCATTCCCACAGGAGCTGGCCTCCCAGAACCTCTGGCCTTGTGCCCATCTCTTGATCCACCCATAGACTTTAAAAGGGCCACCCAGGTCCTCAGGCCTCCTGCTGGCTCGTGCTAAACTTGCAATGAAGAGTCAAAAGACCTCCTGTGCAGGTCACATTCCCAAGCTGCCCCTTAGCCAGGCCTCTGCCAGGGCCAGAGGAGAGGGAAACAAGATAGGAGCTGTCGCTAGCATTCATGCTCTCATCTCACTTCCTCGGCCCGTGCGTGTGGCCTGAGGCCGTGGTGGCACTGTCCCTCGCTAGCTCTCTGCTCGCTGGGGACAGCAGCTGTGCCTTTTCCTTAGGCCCAGAGAGGGGAAGGCCATGCTCTGGCCAGTACCTGCTCCAAGCCAGAGCTCAGACACACAGTGACAACTAAACAGCCATGTGTACAGAATTTTCCCATGAGACACGCCACCCCTCTGCAGAAAAGAAAACAGGCCGAGGGTGGGAAAGGTACCTGTGCAGGGATACATGGCCAGAGCCCACACGTGTAGGGCTCTGAGAAGGCACCTCCGGTCCCCAGCCCTGGCAGGAGTGCTCATGGACCCAGTGCTGTATTGCACCACTGCAGGACACCTTAATGGCACAAGGCAGCTACCAGTACCCTGGCCGGTGGGGCTCACTTGGTTGGGCACTGTCCATGCACTGAAGGGTGGCCAGTTCGATCCCCAGTAGGGGGCGTGCAGGAGGCAGCCGATCTATGTCTCATTCTTATATCAATGTTTCTCTCTCTCCCTTCCTCTCTAAATATCAATTTAAAAAATCTGAAAAAAAAAAAAAAACACATGGGGAAGTGCCAAATGGCAGGAGCACCTGCCTGCCCCCCATCAGCCTAGTCTGTTGAGTTTCCCACATCAACATCCCTTGAGCTACGAACTAAGGCCTCGTCCTTTTTCTGTACCATCTGTAAAATCGGGGATGGGCCTGCAGCGTAGCCAGGAGGTCCTGGGGCTCTGTGCTGGATGTGGCCACTTGCTGCTGTTATTCACAGCAGACTGCCTCGTGGGTGGAAGGGGACACACCACACATCACCCACCACCTCCTCTAAGACGGGGGCCATGAACCCCACTTCACAGATGGGATGCAGACTCAGAGAAATGAGGGCCTTGCTGAGATCACACTGTGGTCTCCCATACCAGAGCCTCCCCAGGAAGATGCATAGCAGCCATGGCTACCACCCTGACTTGGCGTCAACTTTGGGCACATATAATTTCATTTTAGCCTTGCACACCCTGAGGTGTCCAGGCTCAGGTGGGCCTGCAGCCCCACACACCTCAGGGGTGGTCTTCACCCCATACTTGACACGGCTCCGCAGTCCATCTGTGCCGCAGCTGTCCGAGGGGTAGGAGGGCGTGCCGAGAGCTGTGCCTGGTGGGAGCTTATCACACAGGTTGATGGGCTGATCCTCGGCTGTGGCTGTGAAGTCCATGGGGGCCACAGCGCCGTTGCCATTCATCTCGGGGAAGGCAGGGTCACCCTGCGTGCTGCTCGATGTGGACGGGTTCAGGGTGGAGGAGCCATTGCCGCTGCCACTCTCGGAGGAGGAGTCGTCTGAAACAAAAGGCCTGGGAGTGAGTGGCTTCAACCTCAGGCCTGACCGGCCCGTTGCCTGCCAGAGGCCCTTGGAACCCCAAAGGCTGCTTGTGGTCTGGCCAATGCCCTCTTCCTTCAGCTCACCACTACCTTGCCTCTACATCCTTGCCCCACAGGACCCCCTCCCACAGCAGGACCTTGAATTTTCCCTTCCTCTGCCAGAGGAGGGAGAAATGGATCCACTGTAACACTCAGTTACCCACTCCCTCCTGCAAGCAGGCCCAGCCACACGGGCACAGCGCCCCCCAGATCTGCCCTCTGTGCCTGGCCCAGTAACCTTGGACACTGGAGACAGGGCTGCAGGGTGTGGGGTCTGCATGCCCTGCACCTCAGTGGGCCATCCCAGCTTTCATGAGGTGACAACCTAACAAAGCTCTGTAGAGGGCGCCCCCTGCTGCGGAGAGCACAGCATTGCCTAGGAAACAGGGGAGAACAAACTTGAACTGGTGGGATAGACATTTTCAGATGAATTCCAGGCTCTTCTCCCACACCCTGCCCCAGCCTCCTGCTTGATCTGCTGAGACAGCAGAGGCCGAGACTACTACACTCGAGCTCCAGGTCACTGTCAGGTGAGTACCATGTGGTTCTCGGTGGTGCCCTGGTGCCCGTGCAGCTCTGCACCTGCCCAAGTGCAGGAGGGGGAAGGAGCGGCCACAGTGAGCCCTGACCGCATCCCAGACTACCCTTCTCCCAAGCCAGGGTCGCACAGCGCAGGACCCCACCCCCACCCTCCCAGCCGGCAGATTATGAAGATTTAGTCTTCAGTGCTGGGCGCTGGGCACAGCGCCTCCAGAGCGTCCCCATGGCGACCAAGTGGCTCTAGTGCTCAACCAATAGTTGGCCTCCCGGCTGCCCAGGGGCGGGGCCGGGCTGCCCATCAAGCAGCCGCGGCCCTGGGCTGAGGGGGATGGGAAAGGCCTAGGCCCAGTGGCACCCCTCCCCCTCAGCTACCACAGGTCCCCTGGGCCAGGCTGCTAGCCCTCCCCCATGCAGCCACCGCTCCCTCCATCCTCCTGCTGGGCAGCTCCAGCTTCTGCTCAGAGGCGCCCCACCACTACCCCCACACTCAGCTACACCTCAGGCCTTGGGTTCTGCTACCTTTGGGACCCCACAGCCCATCCCCTCCTGCATCACAGATGGCTCTGGTTTTCTTCTGGCAGTCTCTCAAGCACCAATCTAGACATTTGTGGAATGAACAAATTACCCAGCAGTATTTACTGAGCATCTACTGCACGCTGGCCCTGCCCCAGTGGGGAAGCACAGCAGTGACTACAGCCAAGGTGCAGGCCCTCCTGGGGACAAAGTGAGTCACTGAACCACAGGAAAGTAAACGGGCCACCAACCACGCTCCAACTTCCAGACCACACCCAGCCCGTCCAGTCTCCTTGGCTGCCCTTCCTCTTCAGCACCCAGCTCCCCTTCTTCATGTGTCTCCACCCCACTGTGTTCCAGCACTGGCCTGTTCAATAATCTTCCTGTTCCCCACAGCCTGCTGAATAGAGTCCAGACTCCTGCCCAGTGTGTTCTTCGTCCCCTCCTGACCTCTGCAGCCCCTCCCCAGCCCGGGTCCCACTACACTGGCCGCCACTGGACCTCCATCTCCAGACTTTTGCTGTCTGCCTGCCATGTTGCTCAGTAAATGTCAGTCAACCTTCAGACTGGGCTCAAATCTGCCCTCCTTCTTCCTCTATTCCTAGGAAGGAGGTACTCAAGCCCTGACCCCACCAAGGGGTACTTCATGCCTCCTTCACATAGCCCAGGATTGGTCCTGAGAGCAGTCCTCCTCCCACCAGGGCAGGGCCTGTTGCTGGAGAGGCCCCGGCACCTGAGGTTCAGGATCCTCTGCCAGGCAAGGATGGATACCATACTGGCCAATCGTCTGAGCTCCTATGAGCTCTGGAAGGTGCCTGTCTTAGCCTACCTTGCAGGTGTCACTTCACACCCTAGCACCTTGCTTGACCTTGCAAGCCATTTGCTTGACCTTGGAGGGCACTGACTTCCTCCTCTGGAAGGAGATGGTTGCTAGGAGGGTCAACACGTACCACACCTGGTCCACAGTGAGCTGTCACTAACATTGGCATGGAGATGAGGCCCAGGCCACCCCTCCTTCTCCTCTGCAGTGCCGCACTCTGCCAGGATCCAGAGGCAACACCCCAACCACCTGCATCCCTGACCAGGTTTTCTCCCAGGAGCACAGATCCCCTTTGCCCTGTGCTTCCCGAGGCTTGCATGAGCAGGAGACTCAGGAGCTATGAGGGTACACATGTAGGCACTCCCAGCTCACAAGCCCAGGGTGGTGGCCCAGACTCCTGAGCTGGCCATGTCCTCCTCCCAGGGCTGTGTACCTGGGCTGCCTAGCCAGTGGGCCATAGGTGCTGGCACCCCCTTCCACTACTCAGATGCCACCCCAGTTTGGTAAGAAAACTGGCTGGGCAGATGGCACCTGTGAGGCACCAGGAGCCCAGACCACATGTAGCCACGCATTCCAAGCTTTGAGCAAAAACTAGAAATCTGCAGCAGCATGTAAATATCCAGAATTTAAAATATTGGTGACTAATGTACAATGTTTACATTTTGAAAAACTTTACCAGATAAATGGATAAACAAAATGTAGTCTGTCTATGCAATGGAATATTATGCAGCCATAAAAAAGGAGTGAAATTCTGACACATGCTACAATATGGATGAATTTGAAAACATTAAGTTCAGTAAAATAAGGTAGACACAAGACAAATACTGAGTCCACTTATATACAATACCTAGAATAGGCACATTCATAGAGACAAAAAATATATTAAAGATTACCAGGGCGGGAGTGGGAGATGGGAGTTATTGCTTAATGGATACAGAGTTTCTGTTCAGAGTGGTACTAACTCTATAGTCATCTATAGATTCTTGGAAACTGTGACTTCAAGTGAAACAATGTATAAGAAAACTGATTTTACCATAGGCTAATTGATATGAACAAGAGTTACGTTTCTAGGGCACATTTCTGGTCACATACACACACTTCTAAACTTCTAAATAAAGACCCAAAAGACTTTTAATATTAAACCCTCACATTAATGTGAGCCATACATACATTTAAGAAAGATTAAGCTTATTCTAGCTTAGGGTCATGAGTGGCTGGAGCAAACCCATGCAGACAACGGCCCTGACCAGAACTGATTTTTTCCTATCAGCGCTGTAACGAAACGATGGATGTTATCTGAAGACCTGCTGTATTTTGGAAATATGTGCTGCTTGCACAACACTGGCAATGTACTTAATGCTGCTAAACTGCACACTTAAAACTGATTCAAAGGGAAAAATTATGTTGTACATATTTCACCACAAAAAATCCCCCCAAAACAAAACAAAAAAACCCTTGAGTGGGCCAGTGGGCCCTGGTTCATAAGCTCCATTTCCTCCTACCCCCCACACAGCCCACATCAGAGGGACGAGAGAGTCAGCAGCATGGGTGCTCTCCCACCACACTGCTCAAGGCCCAGCAACCCAGTGCACTAACCACCTTCCTGTACAGCCTGCCCAGCACCACCTGCTCAGGCCTGCCCACGACTCGGGTCCTCTTGATGCCAACTGGGTTTTCGGCAGAAGGTGGAAGGGCTGGTGGAGGGGGATGGGCACAGGCTGTGTCTCCTTGAAGATGCCACTTCACCTGCTTGAGCCTCAGTTTCCTTTCCAAATGGGTGTCATGTCAGCAAAATAGTATTTGTAAGGTGTATACAATATCTGGTATAGACAGTAGGCACTAAAAAAATTGGGTTCCCTACACGCTTCCTCAGTTCAAAACAGACCTACTTCCCACACACACATCTTTTCTGGACTGGAACATGGGCTTCTTGGGGATCCCCTGAGAGCCGGTGCCAAATCTGAGGAGGGCTCAGTGAGAGGAGGAGGGAGAGGACCGCACCTCGAAATGCTGCTTCCACCCTCCTCTCTCTCTTTCTTGAACACCTACTGGGTGTCAGGCTCGAGGGGCACTGGCAACACAGTGGTGAAAAGACAGGGGTGGCCACCGTCCTGCGGACTCATGCTCCAGAGAGCGTCGAGAACCCTGATCCATCCCTCCACCCCAATCCGGCTGTGCGTGGAGTCTCCGCACTGGCTGTTCCCTCTTCCTGGCACTCTCCCCAGCTCGCCCGCGCTCCCTCTGGCAGTCCTTCCACCCAGAGCCTTGCTTCCAGGCCCTCCTGAAGCCCTCCCTTGCCTAGCCCCTCGCTCCTACTCTGACATGCTGACCCCTTTACCTATTTGTCCTGGAGCATTTATCACCTTCTTACATTCTGTGCCCATGGTCAGACTCGAGGTTGGCAGGGCTGTATTGGGGGGGGGGGGTGTCATCCCTGCCTCTCCAGGATCCCTAGTCTTCCAAAGTAAGCACATGCCCCAGGCCTGGCCACTCAGCACAGCCCATCATGGTGATTAGTGACAGGCCCAGGAGAGTCCGTCCCGGGGCCTCTGAAATGACTGGGAAGAAGTGTTCTCGCCCTTGGAGCTGAACCCACTTGGCAGGGAGGCCCACACCCGAAAGGGCGGGCTGACAGGCTGGCATGGGCAAATCCCCCGCCATCCACCTGTGCCCAAACCCAAAGAAGGCCCCGGACTTTTCACTATGGCAGCCAATAATTTCCTTAAGGCTGCAGCTGGTTAAAGGTAGGTTTGTGTCATGTGTGTCTGGTTTGGCCTCTGAGTAACTCACGCTCCTCCCCCCACCTCCCCAGGGGCCAAGGGACTGGAGCCCCAGCCAGCTCTCGCCTCACTTGGCCCACCACAACCCCAGGCCTGTCTCCCCAGCTCAGTACTGAGGTAGCTGGTACCTGAGGGAGGGGCTGGCTGCAGGACCCCTCCCCCAGCACCTAGCACGGCACCCAGCACAGAGAGCTGGCCTGTCGCTGTTTAGAGAGAAAGAACAAAGAGAAATGTCAGTATCCCAGGCTGGACAGATTGGGTTCCAA